GTCCAATTCATTCAATTGGTTATTATGTGGATTTGGTTTAGATAGTGAAAAATCCAAACCATGAACACCCTTACACATGACTTCACTATGGAAAATGATTTAATGCACTTGAAGATAGTACAAATTTCATCCACTAGAGGAAATTTGGCGAACAAGGTAGCCGACATGGAGGGAGGCGGTTTGTACGGGTGCTTAGCCTCCATAATCTTCAACGCACCCCCCCATAATGTTGCTCTAGAAAAAAAAAGTCTCACAATGTTTAATACTCCCTAGTGAAAATATCCCCTAACAAATGGTATCATGAATCTTTGGTTCGAGTAAAGGGACCGACTTACATGTATCGAAATGTCCCGGAAGTAGTGTCCCGTTGAAATCGAAATGTCCAAGGAAAAGCTGTATTGAAATGCCAAGGAAAGAGGTGTCAACGGCGCTACAAATATATGTGGACAAAATATCAGTTTCCACATGAGGGGGGTATTGTGGACTCACACTTGAGAGGGAGTGTGGAGAATAATATAACAAGTGTGAGTTGGAGTTCCACATTATTAGACGACGACAATGATCTAGAAGGGGCGTTGAATAAATCACTTATTCTAAATAGAGTTGACACTTAAGATAAATTGGTTTTTAAAAGTTTTAAGCGGAAGCGGCCGAGAAACTACAATCGTCTAAACGAACAGTTACCAAAAAGATCGAATATACGCTATGCCTATATGGAATACCGATAAAGACGAGAAATTGAATCAATAGTTTAAACACAAATCAATAAGATTTCGTTCACTCAAAGTTGGTCAATTTCCAATGCTTGTGAAATATAAACCAAATTGAAAAACAACTCAAAAATTTGTATTCGAGCAATTATTCGAACACTTGGTGTGTGATGCACTCCAAGTAAAATTCACTAAGTAAAAGTAGTGCTAAACTTTTCCGATTACAATCAAATAGATTGTAATGAGATTTATGAAAATGTTTCAACACTACCATAAACCATAATTTTAGTTAATCACTTTGTTTTCACACAAACTTAAAATTCAACAATGAAAATATTAAAAAGAGAGAACACCAATTTGTTGAGGCAGTTCTCCCGTCGTCCTCGTTCGGGGTACGTTTGCCCTCAATTCTAAAAATAGAATTGAGACTTGTATATATAACCTGTTGCAAATTGTTTTTACAAGAGAAACAATAGAAATCAAACACTCAATCCCAATCGTTGATGCTGAGCCTATGCCTTCTCTTCCCTTGATTCAAGATGAATCAAGTCCTTCAAATTTGATGAGTAAACCTCCGATTACGGCACCACCTTTGAACAATCCTCTGGTCTTGAAATCTTGCTTGACTGATTTCAAACACCCACAATTCGAACTCAAACCTTCCTTCCACAATCCTCCGGTTAACGCTACTAAATTGACAGAACCTTTCGTTCTTCAATTACCTTCGTTCAGCTGAATTTGTGAAGGAACGATTTGTGTAAAACCCCCTAAAATCCAAGATTTTTGGAGGAAAAAACCCTAAAGGTTTTATTCAAGAAAAACCCATTGATTTCTCAACCCAAACCCGATACATCGATCATATGTTTGGACGTTATCACCTCAATGATGCAGAATGTACAACATAAATGATTATGTATATTTTTTGAGAAAATGCAAGAAAGAGGATGAGGATGATGAGAACCAAATCAGTGTATATTTTCACTTTTTTTTTGTTTTTTTGTTTTTGAAGAATGAGTTAACTCAATATATATGCAAAGCTATAACCAAATAACCAACATAACAGACACTTTGAATGATTAACATAACAGAAAAATAATGTGAAACAAGCAAAAGGTCGACCTAAAAATAGGGGGGTCGACCTGAGCTCTCCTGAATTCAAAATTATGCAGAAAAATACTTTTTGCATCGACCGGAACAGGTCCATGCATCGACGCAAAGCAACCCAATTTTGAAAAATACAAATGCACACAATATGAGTCGACCGGAGGGTAGACGCGAGCTCTCCGGAGAGCAAATCACAAAAATTTACTTCTACATGAGTCGACCTAAGCAAGCTTTGAGTCAACTCAAAGACTCAGAACTTGCAAAAATGCTGATTTTGATATGCTTAGCTATTTCTAAATGTTCCTAATACATATCTATCTCAACTAACATGATCAAACTCACATAAACACATATACTTCTTTTTCTATATGAACTAACCCATATTTTTGATAAATGCTTGACACTAGAAAAATAACGGATGCATATGCGACTCGATGATATCGTCCAAAGTACAAGTTTCTAACTATATATGTTTTGACATCATTAAATCAAGTATTGAGACACTTTGCCCTCACACATGTTATAATTATGGAGAGTTGAGCACTTATAAGTTAGAGAACCCATACAACCATCACCTTAAGGTTTTGGGTGAATATGTGGTGTCTCCATCACTTGTGTTGCTCTTGGTCCAATATTGATGTTCCTCCTCATGTTTCAACAAATGGTATCAGACTTACTTGTATCGAAATGCCCAGGAAGAAGTGTCCCATTAAAATTGAAATGCCCAGGAAAGAGGTGTATCAAAATGCCTAGTAAGAGGTGTCTAGTAATAGGTGTAAACGACGGTACAAGTGTATGTAGATAAAAGAGATTCCATTTGAGGGGAAGTATTGTGGACTCACACTTGAAGGGGAGTGTTGAGAATAATAAATTCAAGTGTGAGTTGGACTCCCACATTGATTATAAATGTGGATAGTTGAGCATTTATAAGTGGGAGAACCAATACACCTATCACCTTAAGATTTTGGGTGAATATGTGGTGTCTTTCTCACTTGTGTTGCTCTTGACCCAATATTGATGCTCCTTCTCATACCCCAACACATTGTATGCCCATTATAGAGGGTCACTCCATATGCCCCTAACATTTTTTAACTACTGCGAAATGGACATCTGCAACATTGTGGAGACATTGCTTGATGTTAGAGCTCATCTTTTTATCTTTATCCTGAATAATCATACTCCTTCCATCAGGATGATGACATTCTTGACTCATGGCATGAATGATCATACTCCTTCCACATAATAATTGCTAAAACACCCTTACATACTCCTCCAATGCTGTAATAAATCCTGATCATTCTCAATTGCATTCCATAGTGCATTTTTCCGTTCGTCGCCACATATGTGTAATGTTTTAGGAGGAGACACTATATGAGAAATACTCTTGCTCCCATCATTGCCACCAGGAAAACAGTGGAACCCTCTAAATGGATAATTTAAACCTCTTATTTGAATAAAAACTATGGATAATGCATAATTTTGCTTCTCCCCCACTCAATACAAAAGATGTCTAGTAGAGAAATTTTAACAAACACATTGTGGACAATAGCGAAAAAGCATTTTCCTATGGTTGTGGGGTTGTATTGCTCTACACAATTGAACCATGAAATCCAAAATTTGCAAGGTTTCTCTTTAAAGACTATTGGGAGGGTTTGTTTTAGACAAAATGGGGGAAGAGGTTTGATGTGAAGGGGAGATTATGGGGTTTGTAGGTTTTATGGAGCTGAGTGGAGGTGGAAAATAATTTGGTGAAGAGGATCCACAAATTAGAATCAAAGTGAATAGAATGAGAGCATATTGGGATGGGAAAATGATGAAGAAAACAAGGACGCACTGACTGAATTTTTGGCATGTGTGCTTTATCGTATAATGTCATGTGATAGTTAAACAACAGAGTTGTTGTGGAATGTCTGAGGGCATGAAACAAAATTGAGATATATGTTCATTATTGTGTTTACGCATCCTACTCCTCTATTATGTGTTTATGTATCCTACTCATCCATTATCACCACACTATTAATGAAAATGATCTATGAAAAAATATGGTATAGAGGATTTAAAAAGTAGCAAAAGTGTCCGTCAATAGGCTTTTTACCTATGGATAAAAAATCTTGGTGGTGGAACAAAAATGTGTAAAAACGAAAAAATCAGAAGAAGGTGCTGCTCGATGAAAAAATACCTTTGATGGGGGCATTTATCTCAAAAGGAAAAAAATACCTCTTTGGCAACATGTACGCATAAGGTATACTAATTGATAACCCTATAAATGAAGAGCCAATAATAGTCGTAAATGTTCCTATGATACTTTTCTCTCCTTATATAATTATGTTGACACTCCTTATATAATGATTTTGACCAGCTTGTTCAGAAGCCTAATTAGAAGCATTTAATGTGATTGATTCCGCCTATGATGATGATTGAGAATTAGATTTGATTTTTCATATTCTTGTATCCAAAAATAATGACACGTGTAATTATTCATAAATGCTCCTCCAATCGTGTATGGATTGGAGATTGACCTACAATTAAATCGACACAATACATTATTCAATATGTTCTCTAAATCGAATTGTCTAAATGACGGGATATCTTGCCGAGTCTGAATTTAAAATCTAACCCAATATTTGAAGGCGCCAGGTACAATCCAAATTAAATATCAGAAATCTACAAAGTCCCTAAATATGAGGTCCATAGGACAAGTGCTTCAAGAAGAGGCCTTGGGACACTTTCATAATTAGAGTTTGACTACCAATCTTTAGTTGCAATATTGGTAGGGAAATTGTGTTTAATTTTCTTCATTGAGGATGTAATGGCTTCAATTTTTGCATGTTTTTAGGGGAAGAGTTTTTTTTTTTGTCACACGGCTTGTCTATTTCGTGTTTCTTCTATTTTATTATTTATTTTTTATAGTTCCTTGGTGGTAATTTTTTATAGATAGTTGAGCACTCCTGTTGATTATGCTTTCCCTTGTAAGTTATAATCCTCTTTTTAATATGATATGTATATATATTTCCAATGAAAAAAATTGTTACACTTTATTACATGATTAACATAAATTTCTATACCTACAAAATTACACTTGATTACATGATTAAGAATAGAGTTTCACTATAGCTAACAAATGCACAATTTTGTCACCTAATATGGATACATAAAAACATGGAATGGTTTGAATCTTGTTGTTTTCTACATTTCCCTCATCTCTGATTCTTGTCCAGTCCATTGCTTCATTCTTTCTGATGCTTGTTCAACCTGAAAATGTCATTTAGCAGAACTTGAGTTCGAATCAAAGTTGAAATGATCCTTGATCTCCAGATTATTTAAAAAAAGCTGCTAATCTCACCTCTTTGTTCCAATTTGTTTTATATATAACATATATCAAGATTGCTGTCTGCAAAACAGTTCCTAATATCATTCCAACCCAAATACCCTGAAACAAAACTTTCCATTTGTTAGCTCAGCTTGATAAGAGAATCAAATAAAATTCAAATCACATTATTTTTTTATTATTGAGCTTATAGAACAACTTTATAATTATTCAATCTTCTATCACAGCAGGACTGTTTTTGAATGCGTGCAAGACAACAGGTCCAAAATTTATCACGTTAAATCTTAACTGAATAGAGCCTTATAAAATATTTGTCAATGTTAAAGCGTAGTTGAACATAACTTCTATTTATGATGTCCATAGTCATTACCTTCACTCTATAGCCTGCTTTGTAGCCCAGCAAAAAGCCAAGGGGGAGTCCTATAATGTAATAACAAAATAGATTAATGTAAGCTACCAAAGCTTGCCATCCTCCTCCTACTGCAACACCTGCAAGAATACAAACACTTTCATGATTTATGACTTTCCTTATTGCAAGAGTGGTCTCAGAAATACTTATATCAAAAGATAAACTCGAATAAACCAATCCAGATAGGTCGATTTGGAGAAACTTTTACCTGATAAAACTGGCTGGACACTATTTAGAATCATGGTTATACCAAGAAGTGAAGCTAATTTAGAAACTGCTTGTTGCATTTCTTTACTGTCAGTGAAAATAACAGCAAAGTGATCTTTTGTTATTAAAACAATGACTGCAGATACCAAGCCAATTATGAGAGCCTCAACAGCCGTGACGACCACCGAATATTTTGCAGCTCTTGGGTGTCCTGATCCAAGCTCATTGGAAACTCTTACACTGACAGCTGCATTGACCCCTATGAACAATATGCCTTCCCACCCATTTAAATTCATGCTGATAGAGTAAAAACATAATTTAATCAGAAATTCTAGAGTATAAAAGTGAAGATCATGAAGTTTATATCAAAGTATATGTACTATGCAAATTTCTATCGCAGACGTTGACATGTGTCAGACACCGGTCAACCTTTGAGAAGATGAAATAATTGAATATAACCAGACGAGTTAGTGTCAAACAGTGACATGACATTTGTCAGACACCAATAATCTCTTGAGAAGATGAAATAATTGAATATAATCAGACGCGTTAGTGTCTGACAGACATGTGTCAGACACCTGAAATTATAAGTGGTACTGCATAAGATATAGTAGAGTAGCTCAGGTGTGATCTTACCAAATTGAAAGTGAGCCAACAGCAATGATAGGATTATCCAAATGTCCAGTGAGAACAATCAATGTCATGAAATACCAAACCTCTAAACAAAGCATAATAGCTGAAGCAAAAGAGAGTTTCATAAATTCCCAAAGGTCCTTAAAAGCCAACCAAGACAAACCCTTCCACCCTTCTTTACACCAACCAACAACATAAACCATTTGAGCCAAAGCAATTCCCCAAGCAGATAAATCATAAGCTGCAGCAGCACCAGCTGTACCCCAACCAAGTATCTTAATAAAAAGAATCAGAATCAAAATGTGAATAAGAAGGAATACGAAACCCAACCATGCCAATACTCCAACTTTGCTTTGTGCCTGCAAGAATTTCTGTGCAGGAAAATTGATGGCTAGTGAAAATAACTGAGGTATAGATTGGAGTGTGAATATTCCAGCTAACTCCGCTATATCACGTTCTTGTCCAAGGAATATCAAAATCGGTGTCGCGTAAATGTAAAGTGGTAAGATGAGAAAACATGAACCGAACAGGATTAGAATCGAACGTTGCATGTAAACACCGAGCATTTCTACTTGTCCTGCACCAAATGCTTGTCCACATAGTGTCTCCAATGCACTTGCCATGCCAAGCTGCAAATATATAACAACTATTAACTAGTTTAAACAAGAGAGACAGAGAGACTATTAACACACCCTCTCATGCTAAGGACTAGGCATCTGGAGCGTGAAAGTAAATGGTGGATGGTCCGATAACAAAAACCTGAGAGCAGGTGGCCCAATGAATTTTAAACCTATTCGATGTGAGGCTCCTGACAAACCAAAATGATATAATAGAAACTAACCATGAAGCCAAAGGAGAAATTTGAAATGACAGACAAAGAGATTGAAACTGAAGTGAGTTCTAAGTTTCCAAGATGTCCAACAAAGATATTTGTGAAGGAATTGATAGCATAGTTGCATAAAATTCCAAAACAAATAGGGCTAGCAATAGACCAAAGTTTGGATGATTCAACAATGGTAACATTTTTTAAATCTTCAAAGTTATTTATTCCATTATAGTCTCCAACATTGGTTTCAATGAGACCTTCAGGAGCATGGTGGAGTTCTGCAGTTCCCGGACTAGAGGATCCATGTGCTTTAAATAATGGTGTTTCTCCTGTTGATGTGTTTCTATCAGGTGATGATCCAGCAGAGGATAAGCTAGGGCTTCCCCCTGCAAAGGCTTGTTCATTTTCTTTACCTATTTTTGCGGTTTTTTATTAACTTTTTGCATGGAAAAGGTGAAAGAAAAACTCATGCAAAGGAAATGAGGGATGAAAAGAAGGAGAAGAAAAAGAAGAAAGGGTGTTTTGTGTATGGTTTTTTATGCGGCTTTGTTTGTGTGAGTTAGTTTCAACCACTGTTTGTTTGGTGAATGAAGAGATTGGAGGATTTTTGTTTTTCGATAATGTAGGATGGCCTTATAAAGAGTGAGAAATGATTTAGACCAATAAAAAGTTATGACCAAGTCTCAAACTGCTATATACTTATCACTGTTAGATCCATTTCTCTTTCTATGATTCTTTTATTCACATTGACCTAAGATTAGAATAGCACTACTTATCACTTGTACTTTATATGAAATTATAATTATCAAACTATAAAAAAAAATATTAAAAGTTTTTAAAATTTTTTTTACAAGTTTATTTAAAGTTATAATGATGCTAATAGTCAAACTCCTATCAACAAGGTGTCAATTGCGGTTTGAATTTTGGAATGTAGGTAGAATAATATAAATTTGGTGTGGTTAAAAATAACAAGATGTTGGTTGAAAATCGATAACCTACCGGTATTAAGGGTGGAAGATTGGATCTCGAATTAATTACATTAATATTTGTATAAAGAATATTTTATAAAATATTTCTTAAATTATTTAGAAAATAATATAATATAATGTAATCTATTTTTTTTTATATAACTAATATAATAAGATATAAATCTTATTATATAATACAATTTTTGCAGTGTTATTCAAACACGAGATTTTATTAAAATATCTTTCGTTCTCATATTTTCATACATAGTATTAAGAGTCTAATGAGTGACAATATTTCAACGTGCTTTACACAGATGATCTATTGTCTTCCGGTGATAGATTCTTTTCGAAAAATTGTATTCCAACATCGGTTTGTCTTCCACACATTGTTGTGACTCATTCCGGCATCACATTTTTGTAACTCTCTAATCACCACCGCCCCTTCTCTCATCGCCGCCACTGATTCTAGCGACTTTTCAATAGACCAGCACCTGCAGGCAAAAGCATTTGCTTAGATCTAGGCCATTCTTAAAGAATCGCCAAAAGGCACCTCAACACGCGCAAATGTAATCTCCGCGCGTGGGTCTCATGTGTCACCATCTACACTGCGCGTGGTAGCACATCTAGCGAATGGTTCCAACTAACTTTTTGTCTCTTAGCTTGTCTCCCTGTTCATGCTCCAGATCCGCTCTCCGTTTTTCAGTTTCAACTCACGGAAAATCATGCCCTAGTTTAAACAATTTGTGTTTCGCTGTTCTTTGCGACTGTCATTGTTCTTCCCACCACTGAGCGATCTTTTTTGCACGCTTTTCAACCACCAATTCTCATGGAAGATCACTCTGCCATTGATTATGTCACATTTATCAAAGTTCCGCTCACCTCTTGCGAGAAACTAACCGATACAGTTAACTGCCATACAAATTCAAACCCAAATCCGATCTCAGGTAAAACTCAAACCCAAACCCGAACTCAATCAAAGAGTGTTTTCTACGTCAAACACGAGACAATTTTGAATGGATACCTTCGAGTATGAGTTTTGTAGTTCGGCTTGTTAGTTCAGCAAAATTTTATCAGTTGTAATCACTTAGATGTTTTAAAAACAAATTACTACCTCTGTCCCAAATTATAAGTCACTTTGAAAAAAAATTGTCCCAAATTATAAGTCATTTTAGAATTTCAATACAACATTAATGACTTTTTTTTTAATATACCCCTTATAATTTATTTCTCTTTCTTCTTCTTCTTCCTTTAGTCTGTTTCCCATTATAATTAATGAAGGACAATTTTATAAAGTCATAGATCATTTCAGTTTTCTATAAAGTAATTATTACATTTCTTAAACTGTGGGAAATGCTCAAAACGTCATATAATTTGGGACAGAGGGAGTATTTAGGAGTGTGTACTTAATATAAGGTTTCCACTATGAGGTGATAAGATACGTATATTATTCAAGATAAACCATTCATGGAGTTTCATCATGTTTATCATTTGTATAGCACTTTGATGTGTGGTTATGAGTTTGTGTGTGTTTTTTGTGAGTTCCTTCAAGATGAACTTAAACATATATTGTTATTATTAAAAGATTTTATATCCTTCCCTTAAGAAAAAAAAACATTTCATCTCAAATTTTACATATTAATTAAGTATGTATTTTACTAATAATTTATGACATGCTATCATTAAGTATGAATTTTAAGAAAAACAATTTTCATTGTCGTGGTTCAAGTTGTTGTTTGGAACAATGAAAATAGTAACGGTAATGACAACAAGTAAGTGAATATGGTTGAAAGCGTTGTTAATGAATTTAATGGGGTTGAATATTTGAAATAAATAAATGTTAATACTTTGGTGAAAGGTGAAATTCTGTTTGATCAATGATGTTAAAAACGATGTTGTGTCAATGTGTATGACAACAAGACTCCTTAACAATATAACAAATATGTAAAACTAAAAACACAAGTAATTGTTAAACCAATTCAGTGTAAAGTTACCTACGTCTGAAGGGTATCAATCCAAAGAAAAGAAATTCCTTCTTACTAGTCAATAGTAGATGAATCAACCCCTAAGGATTGGGTTAGTGGTGGAGGCTTGGTCTTGAGAGTGCGATCATCTCATGGTCTCAAGTTCAAATCCTGCTAGATGCAATCAATCCTTGTGTTGAGCCAGTCCATAAAGACTCAATAAAACATAAAATGTCAAACTTAATAATACAAGGTCTGAGTCTTCACATTAGGAGAATGCCTCCTTAAATAGAAACAATTACCCAATATAAAATCCAAGTAAGGTTTTGGCATGAACGCGACTATATTCCAAAAAGTGCATAAAATATTAATCTTCATAATGATGATTATGAATCTTGACTAAAACAAATCTAATTATATATGAATTTGATATGAAGAGTATGACACCCAAAAAACCAAATTCTTTTTTATAAAGCATCATTTGGGGAATAATTAGTTAATATAACAAATAGAGAATCACATCAACTCAAAGCAACATTACATATCTCATATATGAGCACTTGTTCAAATATTGGATCAAACATGGAAATTTAAAAGTGAAATCCTGACCCCAATGTCATAATACAGAAGTCTTATTACAACCAAACGTACTAGTTGGCTTAACAGTTCAACAAATATAAACACAAAAGAAACTAATGAAAATGTCTTATACACCATCCTCAATAAATTTATCGCAATATTCCTCAGTCTCGATATGAGGATCCTGCACATAGATTCAAACCATAGGAACATAGAAACAAGCGGGCTGAGAATACATTCTATAAGTTAAAAGGTATTATAACATCCAAAGATAGCATAAATTATAAGATACAACATTACAAAATCATACAATATTACACAGAGTCATACGATATTACGTAATATACGATGAATGCTTATGTAATGCACTTTGTCCTCTACATGTGGTACCAGTCACTAAACACGTGACTAATTCTGGAAGGACATGTGGGCTACCTTACATACCAAAATAATCTTCATGGTTTCTATAGTTTAGGAGTACATGTGAGATGCATTTTTTACTATAACACTCTCTCTAGACGTCCGTAGACTCTCAAATGTCTAGGAGGGCATGAGAGTTGCGTACATACTATAAAACTCTCTCTAAACTCTAATATATGAGAACATACAAGTTACTTCTATATTATAACACTCTCTCTAGACGTCCGTAGACACTCAATTGTCTAGGTTTACATGTGAGCTACACTCGTACTACGACACTCTCTAAAAGAAAATCTACTCCCACTCTAGTATGATGCATGATGATCAGACATACGGTAATTTCACCTGAACCTATTTCCTCTCTAGAAACACATTTACCTTGACTACCACATTAGGGTTTTTCACAAAGTTTTACCACACATTTACTTTAATTTTCGTATTAGGGTTTCACAATGGTTTTATCAAACCTTCTATTCAATTTCCACATTAGGGAATTAAACGAATTTACCAATGTTGGACTCATGTCCTAAGATTTTCCTCACAATCATTTTTTATTCATGGTATTACTCATAAATATAATCATCATGAGACCTTAATAAGATAGGTGTTTGCATTAGCTTTCTAACACATCAAATTGCGCCTTAATCGGAGATTTTGAACTCAAGTTATGACATTTTTGAAAATTCCCAGCCATGTAATAGATTACACATTTTGTGTAATCGATTACACTACACTATTTTCCCATAAAAGATGGAGAGAGAAAACTAGGGGTGGTAATCATTTACACTTGTTGTTGTGCTGTCTGATTTTTATTGTTGATGAACAGGTGGTAATCGATTACACCAAAAGTGTAATCAATTACATTGTTCATAATTTCACTTTTTCATAGCAGTAATCACACACAAACCCCATCCAAAGTCATAAAATAGTACAAGCCAGAAATCGTAGAACATAATAATTTACAATATCAATTAAACATCAACTTAACATAATCAAATTGTCATAACACATCATCATCAAATTGAAACATGATATTATACACGCTAGATACATTAATCCGTACAATTAACCTAAATTATTGATAATATGT